TTGTCTTGCTCACATTGAGGGAGAGGTTGTTGTCCTGGCACCACACTGCCAGGTCTCTGACCTCCTCCCTATAGGCTGTCTCTTCGTTGTCGGTGATCAGGCCTAACAGCTGGTGCTCTCATGCATGCTTCAGTGTTGCTTGCCTCGAAGGGAGCATAAAAGGCATTTATCTCGTCTGGTAGGCTCGCATTACTGGGCAGCTCCCGGCTGGGTTTCACTTTGTAGTCCGTAATAGTTTGCAATCCCTGCCACATCCGACAAGCATCAGAGCCGGTGTAGTAGGATTCAATCTTAGTCCTGTATTGACACTTTGCCTGTTTGATGGTTCGTCTGAGGGCATAGCGGGATTTTTTATAAGTGTCCGGATTTGTGTCCCGCTCCTTGAAAGCGGCAGCTCTAGCCTTTAGCTCAGTGCGGATGTTGCCTGTAATCCATTGCTTCTGGTTGGGATATGTACGTAATGTCACTGTGGGGACGTTGTCGTCGATGCACTTATTGATGAAGCCGGTGACTGGAGAATTGGTCATTGGAGAATCCAGTGGGTTCTGGTAGTCTTTAATAGCTGATTCTAAGATTTGTAATTGATCATTTATATGTTTTTGCTGTTTGTTCTTTGTTATAGAGCCAAAAATATTGTAGAAGTGGTTTATCCATACATCTCCGTTTTGGATAGAAAACTCCTCGTTTTATTGTTTGTTTAGTGTGTTCCAATTTCCCCAGCAGTGGTTAGATTATATGGATCAGTGGAGGCTCCTCAGAGGGGGAAGGGGAGGACCATCCTCCTCAGTGAATTTCATAAAAACAAAAATTGTAAAACATTGAAAAACTATACTAAATATATTTACATCACCAAATAATTGATTAAAACACACTGTTTTGCAATGAAGGTCTACATTGGCCTCAACAGCACTCTGTAGGGTATCACCATGGTGTAGCTGGAGGACAGCTAGCTTCCGTACCCCTCTTGGTACATTGACTTCAATACAAAACCTAGGAGGATCTTGGTTCCTACCCGCTTTCATAGACTTACACAGTAATTATGACAACTTCCGGAGGACGTCCTCCAACCTATCAGAGCTCTTGCAGCATGAACTGACATGTCCACCCAATCAAAGGCTTAGAGAATCTAGTACTGAAAGCATAAACTACAGCTAGCTAGCACTACAGTGCATAAAATGTGGTGAGTAGTTGACTCAAAGAGAGAGAAAGACAATAGTTGAACAGTTTTCAAAAAATGTATGTATTCAAAAATGAAGGAGAAGCAAGAGAGAGAGAGAGATTTCATCATATTTTTTTCACTTTCAGTTTCAGTTACTTAGCTAGCATATGCAGCTGGCTAGTTTAGTTACTCAAACAGAGGGATGCTATGTTAGCTAGCTGGCTATGACTAGGCTCAAACAGAGGGATGCTATGTTAGCTAGCTGGCTATGACTATCCAACACAACACTGGAACTCTTCCAAGTCAAGGTAAGCTTTTGGTTTTATTAATTTATTGCCACCTGGGCCCACTGGTCTAACTGCTTACTGACTATACACTGTAATGTTACTGCATGATTGTAGAGGGTTTACTATGCATTAGTTATATTAGCTATGTTGACTAGGACTTTACTTTAGCTAATATGGGGACAACGATGTAGGCTGTGTGTAGCGGTTATGACATGGTTTGGCTTGGAAAGGTTTTTTCGCCTGGTCACATACAGCTGATGTGTTATTCATTGAAGTCCACAAACCAAGGGAAAATGTGAGAGGAGGAGAGTGAGCCTACGCCTTCACTATGGTGAATCACTAAAACAATACAGAAATACACTACGGAAAAAGAAGGAACAGCATGTCAGAAATCAGCTCAATGTAATTGAAGAATCCATAGACTCTAACCACTTCTGGGAAAATTGGAAAACACTAAACAAACAACAACATGAAGAGCTATCTATCCAAAACGGAGATGTATGGGTAAACCACTTCTCCAATCTTTTTGGCCCTATAACAGAGAACAAACAGCAAAAAAATATACATGATCAAATGCAAATCTTAGAATCAACTATTAAAGACTACCAGAACCCACTGGATTCTCCAATTACATTGAATGAACTACAGGACAAAATACAAACCCTCCAACCCAAAAAGTCCTGTGGTGTTGATGGTATCCTCAATGAAATGATAAAATATACAGATCACAAATTTCAATTAGCTATACTTAAACTCTTTAACATCATCCTTAGCTCTGGCATCTTCCCCAATATTTGGAACCAAGGACTGATCACCCCAATCCACAAAAGTGGAGACAAATTTGACCCCAATAACTACCGTGGGATATGCGTCAACAGCAACCTTGGGAAAATCCTCTGCATTATCATTAACAGCAGACTAGTTCATTTCCTCAGTGAAAACAATGTACTGAGCAAATGTCAAATTGGCTTTTTACCAAATTACCATACGACAGACCACGTATTCACCCTGCACACCCTAATTGACAAACAAACAAACCAAAACAAAGGCAAAGTCTTCTCATGCTTTGTTGATTTCAAAAAAGCTTTTGACTCAATTTGGCATGAGGGTCTGCTATACAAATTGATGGAAAGTGGGGTTGGGGGAAAAACATACGACATTATAAAATCCATGTACACAAACAACAAGTGTGCGGTTAAAATTGGCAAAAAACACACACATTTCTTTCCACAGGGCCGTGGGGTAAGACAGGGATGCAGTTTAAGCCCCACCCTCTTCAACATATACATCAACGAATTGGCGAGGGCACTAGAACAGTCTGCAGCACCCGGCCTCACCCTACTAGAATCTGAAGTCAAATGTCTTCTGTTTGCTGATGATCTGGTGCTTCTGTCACCAACCAAGGAGGGCCTTCAGCAGCACCTAGATCTTCTGCACAGATTCTGTCAGACCTGGGCCCTGACAGTAAATCTCAGTAAGACAAAAATAATGGTGTTCCAAAAAAGGTCCAGTTGCCAGGACCACAAATACAAATTCCATCTAGACACCGTTGCCCTAGAGCACACAAAAAACTATACATACCTCGGCCTAAACATCAGCGCCACAGGTAACTTCCACAAAGCTGTGAACGATCTGAGAGACAAGGCAAGAAGGGCCTTCTATGCCATCAAAAGGAACATACAATTTGACATACCAATTAGGATCTGGCTAAAAATACTTGAATCAGTTATAGAACCCATTGCCCTTTATGGTTCTGAGGTCTGGGGTCCGCTCACCAACCAAGAATTCACAAAATGGGACAAACACCAAATTGAGACTCTGCATGCAGAATTCTGCAAAAACATCCTCCGTGTACAACGTAAAACACCAAATAATGCATGCAGAGCAGAATTAGGCCAATACCCGCTAATTATCAAAATCCAGAAAAGAGCCGTTAAATTCTATAACCACTTAAAAGGAAGCGATTCCCAAACCTTCCATAACAAAGCCATCACCTACAGAGAGATGAACTTGGAGAAGAGTCCCCTAAGTAAGCTTGTCCTGGGCCTCTGTTCACAAACACAAACAGACCCCACACAGCCCCAGGACAACAACAACAACAACAACAACACAATTAGACCCAACCAAATCATGAGAAAACAAAAAGAGAATTACTTGACACATTGGAAAGAACAAACAAAAAAACAGAGCAAACTGGAATGCTATTTGGCCCTAAACAGAGAGTACACAGTGGCAGAATACCTGACCACTGTGACTGACCCAAACTTAAGGAAAGCTTTGACTATGTACAGACTCAGTGAGCATAGCCTTGCTATTGAGAAAGGCCGCCGTAGGCAGACCTGGCTCTCAAGAGAAGACAGGCTATGTGCACACTGCCCGCAAAATGAGGTGGAAACTGAGCTGCACTTCCTAACCTCCTGCCAAATGTATGACCATATTAGAGACACATATTTCCCTCAGATTACAGCGATCCACAAAGAATTCGAAAACAAACCCAATTTTGATAAACTCCCTTATCTACTGGGTGAAAAACCACAGTGTGCCATCACAGCTGCAAGATTTGTGACCTGTTGCCACAAGAAAAGGGCAACCAGTGAAGAACAAACACCATTGTAAATACAACCCATATTTATGTTTATTTATTTTCCCATTTGTACTTTAACTATTTGCACATTGTTACAACACTGTATATATACATAATATGACATTTGAAATGTCTTTATTCTTTTGAAACTTCTGAGTGTAATGTTTACTGTTAATATTTATTGTTTATTTCACTTTTGTTTACTATCTACTTCACTTGCTTTGGCAATGTTAACACACGTTTCCCATGCCAATAAAGCCCTTAAATTGAAATTGAAATTGAAATTAAATTGAAATTGAGTGCATAGAGGCTAGAATGAATACAACGTGGCTGCTATGAAAGTGAGCTCTGTTTATGCGTGATCAGGGGTGTATTCATTCTGCCGATTCTGTTGAAAAACGTTTCTTAAACGGAAGCAAACGAAACAGAGAGAAAAATACCTGAATTTGTCCAGTATAAACTCTCGTTTGCAACTGTTGGACTAATGATTACACCCTAGATAAGCTAGATGCAGGCAATAGTGTGCAAGGTGGTATTGAATGTGTCACTGTCTGTCATCTCACATTTTTCTCTCGACCTGTGTGCACCTACGTTGCAAACTTTCATTCATAGGCTAGGTTGTAGCAACCTCATGATGGGTATAGGGAAATGTCGAGTATCATGTAGTAGCCTAAACCTATCGATGTTACATTGAATTAGGTGAATGGAAAATGAATGACAGTCATCCAACATGCTGTAATATAAATAAGGTCATGAAAAAAAAATATGTCCAACCTCATCATGAACTTCACTGACCGCCACTGATATGGATTCTTCAATTACATTGAACTGATTTTAAGACGTGCTGTTCCTTCTTTTTACGTAGTGTATTTCTGTATCGTTTTAGTGCCACACTCAAGATGGCGGCTTTTTCATTCCAATTTTGGCTACGCAAAGGACGTGAGGCGCCTCGCAATTGTCAAAGTTGTGTTGACAGTAGTAGCAGCAGAAACTGGCAGGGCGAGGTAGCTAACATCACGAGCCGAATGGAGTAATTATCGCGTTACATTTCAAGAAAACCGACCCACCACATTCCTTATAACATTGTTAACCTCCAACGAAGCCATGGCAGAGGACTCGAGTGCTCAAACTTGGTCTATCAACAAGGACGACTATGTACTCAACGAGGTGATTGGTGAGTATGTCGCTAGCATGCTAACCTCTTAGCTAGGTTTCTCGCAAGACAGCTAGCTAGCTAACGTTAGTTCACTAACTTATAGCTGGTTAGCTAACGTTAAACCTAGCTACAGCTAACCAACCTTACTTTTGACAGCTAACTAAGCTATTGAAGTAACGTTAGATATAGCTAACTAGGCCAAGCATATGTTTCTCAGTTGTCGTTCATAGGTTGATAGCTAGCTAATTAGCTATCTAGTTAGCTAACGTTAGCTATTTTCCAGATGCTAACTTGAATAACTAGCCTAGTAGCTAACGTTAGCTACAGTAGCTAGCTAGCTAGCTAAGTCGGGCAGCATAGTTGCTTAAGGGTGAAGTATGGAGGTGGGTGGTGCCTTACTTCGCTGAAAGAGAAGGCATGATGGGGCTTAGTGAGTCACTCATACCTTGTGGTAGCAAGGAGTTGGTATTAGTCAGGCTTTTCTTTTTGTGATATTGACCGGGTTATGTTTGTTATTCTTTCTGTACAATGCATAAGACATGTAGCTAACTATATGCGTGATATAGTTAGTTGAAGTTTGATGAGACCTCAGACTTGATACAGATAAAGTGTCTTAAAAGCCAAATGTATCTCACTAGCTAATCACTTTTGATACAAATGGCAAAGATATGTCAAAGATCCTTCCGACAAAGGATATTTCTTTGTAGTAAATACAGGAAAATAGTAGTTCCTTGTTGTAGTTGTCTGGTATCTTGCCAAGTACCTCAACTCCTCCAAGAGTTATCTGCATACTAGAGTTTTTTTTTAATGAACCTTCGACTCCTTCAGGTCATTGCCTCGAATACTTCAAAAATGTACATTCTTAAACCCTTACGGTGTACCTATGTTTGCCCTCTGTTGTTGCATGCCTTTCCTTGTTTGCTGAAATGAATGCTTTTTAATAAAACATTAATCAAATACAGCCACCAACTGTTTCCTTGTTGAGATTCAATTGGCCCATTCGCACTGATGTGCCATCTTATTTTGTCTTCCTCTTGGGTTGTTCCAGGGAGTGGTGCCACTGGCTTCCCTTTGGATGTGTGTTACATTGTAATTCTTCCCCCTTTGTTTCCTCTTCAGGGAGTGGTGCCACTGGCTTCCCTTTGGATGTGTGTTACATTGTAAATCTTCCCCCTTCGTTTCCTCTTCAGGGTGTGGTGCCAGTTGCTTCCCTTTGGATCAAATCAAATTGTATTTGTCACATGTGCCGAATACAACAGGTGCAGACCTTACAGTGAAATGCTTACTTACAAGCCCCTTAACCAACAATGCAGTTTTAAGAAAAATATGTGTTAAGTAAAAAATAGATGAATAAAAAATTATGAAAGAGCAGCAGTAAAATAACAGTAGCGAAGCTATATACAGGGGGTACCGGTACAGAGTCAATGTGCAGGGGCACAGGTTAGTTGAGGTAATATGTACATGTAGGTAGAGTTAAAATGACTATGCATAGATAATAAACAGAGAGTAGCAGCAGCGTTAAAGAGGGGGGTGGGGGCGACGACAATGCAAATGGTCCAGGTAGCCATTTGATTAGCTGTTCAGGAGTCTTATGGCTTGGGGGTAGAAGCTGTTAAAAAGCCTTTTGGACCTAGACTTGGCGCTCCGGTATCGCTTGCCGTGCAGTAGCAGAGAGAACAGTCTATTACTAGGGTGGCTGTCTTTGACCATATTTAGGGCCTTCCTCTGACACCGCCTAGTATAGAGGTCCTGGATGGCAGGAAGCTTGGCCCCAGTGATGTACTGGGCTGTACGCACTACCCTCTGTAGCGCCTTGTGGGCGGAGGCCGAGCAGTTGCTATACCAGGCAGTGATGCAACCAGTCAGGATGCTCTCGATGGTGCAGCTGTAGAAGTTTTTGAGGATCTGGGGACCCATGCCAAATATTTTCGGTCTCCTGAGGGGGAATAGGCTTTGTCGTGCCCTCTTCACGACTGTCTTGGTGTGTTTAGATGTGTGTTACATTGTAATTGTTCCCCCTTCGTTTCCTCTTCAGGGTGTGGTGCCACTGGCTTCCCTTTGGATTTGTGTTACATTGTAATTGTTCCCCCTTGGTTTCCTCTTCAGGGAGTGGTGCCACGGCCGTGGTGCAGGCGGCCTACTGTGAGCCCAGGAAGGAGAGGGTGGCCATTAAACGCATTAACCTGGAGAAGTGTCAGACCAGCATGGACGAGCTCCTGGTAACCCACCCACATGTTCAGAGCACAATTTATTTCAGGAGTTGACAGTATAGCAATCAATACTATCTAATCAATACTAGCTAATAATTTGACATAAAGCCAATTATGGCCTCTGGTAAAGCTTAGCTGTAAAGGCGGAGCTGGGAACGATGAGAGTACAGCAGCAGGAACACACACACAACCATGTACACACACACACACCACACAACCATGTACCACACACCCTACCACACACAACCCACGTACACATCACACAACCACGTACACACCACACAACCACGTACAACACACAACAACCACGTAAAAAAAACCAAAAAACCACGTACCCACACTACACAACACACACACCGACAACCACACACCCGCACACACAACCACGTACACACACACACAACCACGTAACACACACACACAACCACGTACACAACACACACAACCACGTACACCACACACAACCACGTACACACCACACACACACAACCACGTACACACACACAAACCATGTACACACACACACAACCATGTACACACACACACCAACCACGTACACACACACACAACCACGTACACACACACAACCACGTACACACACACACAACCACGTACACACACACACAACCACGTACACACACACACAACCACGTACACACACACAACCACGTACACACACACACACAACCACGTACACACACACACAACCACGTACACACACACACAACCACGTACACACACACAACCACGTACACACAGGCTGTCAGTGTAAATCAGACAAGCTCAGGCCAGCAGCTGGACAGATACCAACACAGTGTTTTCAGCCCTTATTGCATAACATTCAGTAGGCCCTGTCTTGGCAACTCAATCAAGCCTCTCTTGGAGACACGGCCGGTAGCGACATAGAAATAGAATTACTAGAACGGGAAAAAAAGCCACAGTGATTTGGACTGCACCCATCGTGGCACATTGACTTGAATGTGTGTGTCCTAGTAATTCTATTTCTACGGTAGTGACATAACCCAGGTCACTCCTCGCTCATTTGTCCCTATTGGGGGGCCTGCTCTGCTCTGTCATGTGCTCAGTCGGGTTGAGAACAAGCAGAGGAAGCAGAACAGCTGTGGCGATTTAGCCTTCTTCTAGACACTGATACCCAATCATCAAATCAACCCCTAAATTCTTGTGTGGATCTGACTATGATTGGATAAATATAAGCAATACGGAGAGAGTTTCCCCCCCCTAGCCTGTCAAAATGGAAATATATTACTGCATTGTTGGAGAGTCGAGACCTGTACAATTCTTTCAGATCTGCTGTCTAGACTCAAAACGCTTTACTGTACGATGTGCTGAGCCATTGGAAGCTCATTCGTTCTGTTTTCTCTCTCTCCCCGTCTCCTTGCAGAAAGAGATCCAGGCCATGTCCCAGTGCCACCACCCCAACATTGTGTCCTACTACACGTCTTTTGTAGTGAAGGACGAGCTGTGGCTGGTGATGCGGCTCCTCAGTGGTGGTAAAGTATTGCTTTAGGGACTGTAACCAGGCAGGGAAGCAGAAGAGGATAAATACCACTTATGTAGCTCTTTAGTTGGTGGTGGCCCACCTTTGTATAAACATTGCATAAACATTGCTAGGGGAAACACTGCGGCCTGCTTAACAATACTATAACGGGTGGGTTGTTGGTTTTGCTCCAGCCCTACTGTAATCACCTGATTCAACAAATCAGAGAGCAGGGCTGGAGCAAAACCCTGCATGACCCGGTAGCTCTCCAGGAGGTGGTTGTCCACCCCTGTTCCTGCCCTCCAGCTGTTATAGCAGGGCTGAAGCAAAACCCTGCACACCTAGTAGCTCTCTAGGAGGATGGTTAGCTTGGTTAATCTCCATCCCAGCTGCCTGACTACCAGGCACTATAGGCCCCCTTTCTGGATGAAGCAGGGCCCTGAGCAGCAGCTTCTCTCCAGCTGTGGCCTTGGCTCTCCGCCTGCTACGGTACTGTCCATCCTCCTGGCATGCAGTAACACTGTCAAGAGATAGAGGGATTAGGGTTCTCAGCTATCACACACGTTTCATTACAAGCCAAGGTAAAAACACAGCAGTAATAAAGATCAGAGCCCTAGTTCAAACACCGCTCTATCGCTGCAACAAACAAAAACAATGTCGCTTCCCCTTTGGAAGAGCGAGTATAGAGTGCCATCTTAAACCATTCAAGGCATTCTTCAGCTAACTAATAGTAACCTGGTCCTTTTGTTACTCACTCTCTATCTCCCCCTCCTCTTTCTCCGTGCTTTCTCTCTCTGTCTCTCTGTCTCTCTGTGTCTCTCTGCCTCTCTGTCTCTCTCGCTCTCTCTCGCTCTCTCTCGCTCGCTCTCTCTCGCTCTCTCTCGCTCTCTCTCGCTCTGTCTCGCTCTGTCTCTCTCTCTCTCTCTCTCTCTCTGTCTCTCTCTCTCTCTCAGGCTCAGTACTGGACATCATTAAACACATCATATCTCGTGGGGAGCATAAGTCTGGGGTGCTGGATGAGTCGTCCATAGCCACCATCCTCAAAGAGGTCCTAGAAGGACTAGAGTATCTGCATAGGAACGGACAGATCCACAGGTCAGGACACATCCTTGTTTTCAACTAGAAATATTTAGAACGGACAGATCCACAGGTCAGGGCACATCCTTGTTTTCAACCTGAAATATTTAGAACGGACAGATCCACAGGTCAGGACACATCCTTGTTTTCAACTAGAAATATTTAGAACGGACAGATCCACAGGTCAGGACACATCCTTGTTTTCAACCTGAAATATTTAGAACGGACAGATCCACAGGTCAGGACACATCCTTGTTTTCAACTAGAAATATTTAGAACGGACAGATCCACAGGTCAGGACACATCCTTGTTTTCAACTAGAAATATTTAGAACGGACAGATCCACAGGTCAGGGCACATCCTTGTTTTCAACTAGAAATATTTAGAACGGACAGATCCACAGGTCAGGACACATCCTTGTTTTCAACTAGAAATATTTAGAACGGACAGATCCACAGGTCAGGACACATCCTTGTTTTCAACTAGAAATATTTAGAACGGACAGATCCACAGGTCAGGACACATCCTTGTTTTCAACTGAAATTCAACTAGAAATATTTAGAACGGACAGATCCACAGGTCAGGACACATCCTTGTTTTCAACTGAAATTCAACTTGAAATATTTAGAACGGACAGATCCACAGGTCAGGACACATCCTTGTTTTCAACTGAAATTCAACTTGAAATATTTAGCGTTGATTTTTACCTTTTTTTTTTCTCACTGACCACAGTCACATTATAGGTGTACATTGAGGATGTTGTCAGATTCAACAGCCAGTCAAAGAAATTGGCGCACTTCCCTGTTTTATTGTTAACTCCATCATTCATTATTTAATTCATTCATTTATGAACCAAACTACTAGCTCCAATTTGAAGTGGCAAAGCCACATTCGGTAAAGTCACATTCTTCGGGTTCGTGAGCTTTCACATTGGCCCATATTTATCAATATTTCATAGAGGGCTTTATGCATTGTTAAAGAGGTTTGTTTTATGTAACAGCTTTTCTCCCCAGGTAACACTACATATGAAACACTACAGTATCGCACATCTGTCTCCTGAGTGGCGCAGTGGTCTAAGGCACTGCATTGCAGTGCTAACTGTGCCACTAGAGATCCTGGTTCGAATCCAGGCTCTGTCGCAGCCGGCCGCGACCAGGAGACTCATGGGCGGTGCACAATTGGCCCAGCGTCGTCCAGGGTAGGGGAGGGAATGGCCGGCAGGGATGTAGCTCAGTTGATAGAGCATGGCGTTTGCAACGCCAGGGTTGTGGGTTCGATTCCCACGGGGGGCCAGTATAAAAAAATATGTATTCACTAACTGTAAGTCGCTCTGGATAAGAGCGTCTGCTAAATGACGTAAATGAAAAATGAAATGAATCTAAAAACAGGCCACAGACACACAGAATATTGACTACTCTTTTAGTAGTATGCGCTGAACCAGCATGTTTGGCTCAGATTCACAATAGTTAAGTCCTGATAAGTAAAAGGGCTTGGGTCGTCGAGACAGTGTGCACTAAACTGGATGGCACTTATCGTGAGCTAATAAAAAGAGCTGATGGTTTACAGCTAAAACAGGCCACACACAGACTGGATAATGACTCCTCTTTAGTAGTATGACCAACATGTCTGTGTAGTAACTAGGTCTCTACTATAGAAACCTTGATATAGACGAGGCCACTGCTTATCATTCCCCGGCATTTACGTGTAGTTTAGTTTCATTTACAGGTGACTCCTGATAAATACTGGTTCGTCTGGCTTCTGCTGTTTCACAGGGATCTAAAGGCTGGAAATATTCTTCTTGGTGACGATGGCTCCGTGCAAATCGCAGGTATGGTCACATGTCCCAAGACCTTAACTCCCCACTTCTAATCGATTTTATGCTGTCGAATGAATGAATGAATGAATGCCAAAAACGTGCACCCCTTGGGGTCCCGAGGATCGAGTTTGGGAAACGCTGCTTTATGGCATTCATTCCTCTGGAACAAGTCCATTGGTTATATCCGTCTGTCTGATCTTTCTCTCTCACTCACCACTCTTCACCCCTCGTGTCTGTCTGTCCCAGACTTTGGTGTGAGTGCCTTCTTAGCGGCGGGAGGAGACATGACCAGGACTAAGGTCAGGAAGACGTTTGTTGGGACGCCATGTTGGATGGCCCCAGAGGTCATGGAGCAGGTGGGGGGCTATCCTCTCTCTCTCTCTTTGTCTCTCTCTCTCTTTGTCTCTCTCTCTCTTTGTCTCTCTCTTTGTCTCTCTCTTTGTCTCTCTCTTTGTCTCTCTCTCTTTGTCTCTCTCTCTCTTGTCTCTCTCTCGCTGTCTCTCTCTCTCGCTGTCTCTCTCTCTCTTTGTCTCGCTCTCTCTCTTTGTCTCTCTCTCTCTTTGTCTCTCTCTCGCTCTCTCTCTCTTTGTCTCTCTCTCTTTGTCTCTGTCTCTCTCTCTCTCTCTCCTTTGTCTCTCTCTCTCTTTGTCTCTCTTTTTCTCGCTCTCTCTTTGTCTCTCTCTCTTTGTCTCTCTCTCTCTCGCTCTCTCTTTGTCTCTCTCTCTCTCTTTGTCTCTCTCTCTCTTTGTCTCTCTTTGTCTCTCTCTCTTGTCTCTCTCTCTCGCCTCTCTCTCGCTCTCTTTGTCTCTCTCTCTCTCTCTCTCTCGCTCTCTCTCTTTGTCTCTCGCTCTCTTTGTCTCTCTCTCTCTCTCTCGCTCTCTCTCTCTTTGTCTCTCTCTCTCTTTGTTTCTCTCTCTCTCTCCAAAAATATCTTACCATTATCCTTTATGTCTCCTCAGGTCCGAGGTTATGACTACAAAGCAGATATCTGGAGTTTTGGGATCACAGCCATTGAGCTGGCTACAGGCGCTGCTCCATACCACAAATATCCACCCATGAAGGTCATTTCTACTTTTTACTTGGAGAGATGGAAGGGGTGTGATCTTTGACTTCCTGAAAAGCAGTTGCTAAGGAGACTATCCTGGCTAAATATGTAGGAATTAAATTCAATTGTCAGCCGATGGTGTCTAACATGTTGTGTGTGTGTGTGTGTAATGACCTGGTAGTAACCTGATGTTGTGTGTGTGTAATGACCTGGTAGTAACCTGATGTTGTGTGTGTGTAATGACCTGGTAGTAACCTGATGTTGTGTGTGTGTGTGTGTGTGTGTGTGTGTGTGTGTGTGTAATGACCTGGTAGTAACCTGATGTTGTGTGTGTGTGTGTGTGTGTGTAGTGACCTGGTAGTAACCTGATGGTGTGTGTGTGTGTGTGTGTGTGTGTGTGTGTGTGTGTGGTGTGTGTGTGTGTGTGTGTGTGTGTGTGTGTGTGTGTGTGTGTGTGTGTGTGTGTGTGTGTGTGTGTGTGTGTGTGTGTGTGTGTGTGTGTGTGTGTGTGTGTGTGTGTGTATCTGTAGGTGCTGATGCTGACCCTGCAGAATGACCCTCCCTGCTTGGAGACCGGCATCCAGGACAAGGAGATGGTGAAGAAGTACGGGAAGTCCTTCAGGAAAATGATCTCTCTATGTCTGCAGAAGGAGCCTGAGAAAAGGTGACTATCCCAAACGCTCATATTTTATCCCATTTTAACAGACGTTTTTAATCCAAAGTTACTTGCAGTACGCAGGGCTCGTACAGTCATGAAAATCCTGGAAAAGTCATGGAATTTTTAAATGGTGTTTTCCATGCCTGGAAAAGTTTTGGAAAATAATCAAATCTGAAAAGTTTTGGAAAAGTCACCGAAATTAATTCCATAATTTCTGTTAATGTAATTTATTTAGGAATAGTTTTTACATTTTATAAATAAAATAAAAATCAACACATCAGCTAGGATTGGAATGACACTTCACCTGCATGTATGCGAGACGAGTGGGCCGTTTCCCAAGGAGAGACAGACAGTAGGCCATTACAGCAGGTAGGCCTATCCTATAAACTATGATAGAGCAGACTGACTAGGAAGCCAATTCAAAACATATCTTCTACCCTCTAGTTAACTGTTGAGCTGTTATTAGCATATAGTCATGTTTTCGTCATGTCCCAAAAAACTTTCCACTGACACTCGGGAATAAGCCCATACAAAGTTGATTAACCTTTGTGAACGATTCATATGAATCTTTTTTTTTTTTTTTTTTTTTTTTTTGGGGACGAAACAAACTATTCACTTCGACATTGTATTTGTTGGGATTCGTTTCAATTGCGATGAATCAAATCATGTGAATCAAAATAATAACTTGTGAATTGTGAAGAGTAAATTTAGGAAAAAATGTTAGACGTCGCCTTTCTTTTGGATTATGTGGCTTCAACTTGTTTTGTACAGTACATTTACATTTAAGTCATTTAGCAGACGCTCTTACCCAGTTGCAGTAATCCAGACGGGAGATGACAAGTGCCTGGATTAGGACCTGTGCCGCTTCCAGTTGATTTAGGCGTCTTAAGTATGGGACATTCAACTCAATAGATGCTAGTCAGCCCGCGAAGTAAACACTTCTAAAGGTAGCTCAGATATAAATATGACTAAACTAGAAAAGGTACATTTCCTGAAGGAAATTTGTGGGCTTGTTTCAGCTGAATAAAAAGATTTGTAGCCTGCCATAGCCACTTGATCTTTGATACAGTGCATTCGGAAAGTATTCAGACCCCTTCTCTTTTTCTACATTTTGTTACGTTACAACTTTATTCTACAATGGATTAAATGTTTTTCCTCATCAATCTACACAATTCCCCATAATGACAAAGCGAAAACAGGTTTTTAGAAATGTTTGCAAACCTTATTTACATAAGTATTCTTTGCTATGAGACTCGAAATTGAGCTCAGGTGCATCCTGTTTCCATTGATCATCCTTGAGATGTTTCTACAACTTGATTGGAGTCCACCTGTGGTAAATTCAATTGATTGGACATGATTTGGAAAGGCACACACCTGTCTATTTAAGGTCCAACAGTTGACAGTGCATGTCAGAGCAAAAACCAAGCCATGAGGTCGAAGGAATTGTCCGTAGAGCTCAGAGGCAGGATTGTGTCGAGGCACAGATCTGGGGAAGGGTACCCAAAAATGTCTGATGCATTGAAGGTCCCCAAGAACACAGTGGCCTCCATCATTCTTAAATGGAAGAAGTTTGGAACCACCAAGACTCTTCCTAGAGCTGGCCGCCCGGCCAAACTGGGCAATCGGGGGAGAAGGGCCTTGGTCAGGGAGGTGACCAAGAACCCGATGCTCACTCTGACAGAGCTCCAGAGTTCCTCTGTGGAGATGGGAGAACCTTCCAGAAGGACAACCATCTCTCCAGCACTCCACCAATCAGGCCTTTTATGGTAGAGTGGCCAGATGGAAGCCATTCCTCAGTAAAAGGCACATGACAGCCCGCTTGGAGTTTGCCAAAAGGCACCTAAAGGACTCTCAGATCATGACAAACAAGATTGAACTCTTTGGCCTGTATGCCAAGCGTCATGTCTGGAGGAAACCTGGCACCGTCCTACGGTCTAACCAACTCAGTCACAAAGGACCACTGACTGTAATTGAAGTGGGAGGGGTGTAGTACAGGGGTTATTCCTGGAGAGCTTTCCCCATTTAGGCTTTTGCTCCAACCCTAATCTAACCAAATGTGATTCTACTAATCAGATATGTTACAACAGGGTCGGTGGCTCCTAGTATTAGTAAACTAATTCCACCTTGACACCATTTCTCCAAGTTCTCTTACCTAGTCTGATTTCCTGCCGTGGTGTGTTCTAATGTCCTGTAGTGGTAAAGCATGTTGTGTCGTTGTCTTTCAGACCAACTGCTGCTGAGCTGCTAAAACACAAATTCTTCACGAAAGCAAAGGTAAAGCCCATGTGTATGTATGTATGTATGTATGTATATACAGTGGGGGAAAAACGTATTTAGTCAGCCACCAATTGTGCAAGTTCTCCCACTTAAAAAGATGAGAGAGGCCTGTAATTTTCATCATAGGTACACGTCAACTATGACAGACAAAATGAGAAGAAAAAAAATCCAGAAAATCACATTGTAGGATTTTTAATGAATTTATTTGCAAATTATGGTGGAAAATAAGTATTTGGTCAATAACAAAAGTTTCTCAATACTTTGTTATATACCCTTTGTTGGCAATGACACAGGTCAAACGTTTTTCTGTAAGTCTTCACAAGGTTTTCACACACTGTTGCTGGTATTTTGGCCCATTACTCCATGCAGATCTCCTCTAGAGCAGTGATGTTTTGGGGCTGTCGCTGGGCAACACGGACTTTCAACTCCCTCCAAAGATTTTCTATGGGGTTGAGATCTGGAGACTGGCTAGGCCACTCCAGGACCTTGAAATGCTTCTTACGAAGGCACTCCTTCGTTGCCCGGGCGGTGTGTTTGGGATCATTGTCATGCTGAAAGACCCAGCCACGTTGCATCTTCAATGCCCTTGCTGAGGGAAGGAGGTTTTCACTCAAAATCTCACGATACATGGCCCCATTCATTCTTTCCTTTACACGGATCAGTCGTCCTGGTCCCTTTGCAGAAAAACAGCCCCAAAGCATGATGTTTCCACCCCCATGCCTCACAGTAGGTATGGTGTTCTTTGGATGCAACTCAGCATTCTTTGTCCTCCAAACACGACGAGTTGAGTTTTTACCAAAAAGTTCTATTTTGGTTTCATCTGACCATATGACATTCTCCCAATCCTCTTCTGGATCATCCAAATGCACTCTAGCAAACTTCAGACGGGCCTGGACATGTACTGGCTTAAGCAGGGGGACACGTCTGGCACTGCAGGATTTGAGTCCCTGGCGGCGTAGTGTGTTACTGATGGTAGGCTTTGTTACTTTGGTCCCAGCTCTCTGCAGGTCATTCACTAGGTCCCCCCGTGAGGTTCTGGGATTTTTGCTCACTGTTCTTGTGATCATTTTGACCCCACGGGGTGAGATCTTGCGTGGAGCCCCAGATCGATGGAGATTATCAGTGGTCTTGTATGTCTTCCATTTCCTAATAATTGCTCCCACAGTTGATTTCTTCAAACCAAGCTGCTTACTTATTGCAGATTCAGTCTTCCCAGCCTGGTGCAGGTCTACAATTTTGTTTCTGGTGTCCTTTGACAGCTCTTTGGTCTTGGCCATAGTGGAGTTTGGAGTGTGACTATTTGAGGTTGTGGACAGGTGTCTTTTATACTGATAACAAGTTCAAACAGGTGCCATTAATACAGGTAACGAGTGGAGGACAGAGGAGCCTCTTAAAGAAGAAGTTACAGGTCTGTGAGAGCCAGAAATCTTGCTTGTTTGTAGGTGACCAAATACTTATTTTCCACCATAATTTGCAAATAAATTCATAAAACATTCTACAATGTGATTTTCTGGATTTTTTTTCCTCAATTTGTCTGTCATAGTTGACGTGTACCTATGATGAAAATTACAGGCCTCTCATCTTTTTAAGTGGGAGAACTTGCACAATTGGTGGCTGACTAAATACTTTTTTCCCCCACTGTATGTATGTGTGTGTATATATATATATATATATATATATATATATATATACACACACACACACAGTGGGGAGAACAAGTATTAAATACACTGCCGATTTTCCAGGTTTTCCTACTTACAAAGCATGTAGAGGTCTGTAATTTTTTATCATAGGTACACTTCAACTGTGAGAGACGGAATCTAAAACAAAAATTCAGAAAATCACATTGTATGATTTTTAAGTAATTAATTTGCATTTTATTGCATGACATAAGTATTTGATACATTAGAAAATCAGAACTTAATATTTGGTACAGAAACCTTTGTTTGTAATTACAGAGATCATACGTTTCCTGTAGGTCTTGACCAGGTTTGCACACACTGCAGCAGGGATTTTGGCCCACTCCTCCATACAGACCTTCTCCAGATCCTTCAGGTTTCGGGCCTGTCGCTGGGCAATACGGATTTTCAGCTCCCTCCAAAGATTTTCTATTGGGTTCAGGTCTGGAGACTGGCTAGGCCACTCCAGGACCTTGAGATGCTTCTTACGGAGCCACTCCTTAGTTGCCCTGGCTGTGTGTTTCGGATCGTTGTCATGCTGGAAGACCCAGCCACGTCCCATCTTCAATGCTCTTACTGAGGGAAGGAGGTTGTTGGTCAAGATCTCGCGATACATGGCCCCATCCATCCTCCCCTCAATACGGTGCAGTCGTCCTGTCCCCTTTGCAGAAAAGCATCCCCAAAGAATGATGTTTCCACCTCCAGGCTTCACGGTTGGGTTGGTGTTCTTGGGGTTGTACTCATCCTTCTTCTTCCTCCAAACACGGCGAGTGGAGTTTAGACCAAAAAGCTCTATTTTTGTCTCATCAGACCACATGACCTTCTCCCATTCCTCCTCTGGATCATCCAGATGGTCATTGGCAAACTTCAGACGGGCCTGGACATGCGCTGGCTTGAGCAGGGGGACCTTGTGTGCGCTGCAGGATTTTAATCCATGACGGCGTAGTGTGTTACTAATGGTTTTCTTTGAGACTGTGGTCCCAGCTCTCTTCAGGTCATTGACCAGGTCCTGCCGTGTAGTTCTGGGCTGATCCCTCACCTTCCTCATGATCATTGATGCCCCACGAGGTGAGATCTTGCATGGAGCCCCAGACCGAGGGTGATTGACCGTCGTCTTGAACTTCTTCCATTTTCTAATAATTGCGCCAACAGTTGTTGCCTTCTCACCAAGCTGCTTGCCTATTGTCCTTTAGCCCATCCCAGCCTTGTGCAGGTCTACAATTTTATCCCTGATGTCCTTACACAGCTCTCTGGTCTTGGCCATTGTGGAGAGGTTGGAGTCTGTTTGATTGAATGTGTGGACAGGTGTCTTTTATACAGTTAACGAGTTCAAACAGGTGCAGTTAATACAGGTAATGAGTGGAGAACAGGAGGGCTTCTTAAAGAAACACTAACAGGTCTGTGAGAGCCGGAATTCTTACTGGTTGGTAGGTGATCAAATACTTATGTCATGCAATAAAATGCAAATTAATTACTTAAAAATCATACAATGGAATTTTTCTGGATTTTTGTTTTAGATTCCGTCTCTCACAGTTGAAGTGTACCATGATAAAAATTACAGACCTCTACATGCTTGTAAGTAGGAAAACCTGCAAAATCGGCAGTGTATCAAATACTTGTTCTCCCCACTGTATATATAAGTGTGATTATCACACAATGTGAGTTCTCCCATTAAACGATGAGAGGTATTTCATCATAGTACACGTCTATGACAGACAAATAGGGAAAAATCCGAAAATCATGTAGATTTTATGTTTATTGCTTATGTGAAATAGTTTTGTCATAACTTTCTCAATCTTTGTTATATACCCTTTGTTGGCAATGACACAGGTCAAACGTTTTCTGTAAGTCTTCACAAGGTTTTCACACACTGTTGCTGGTATTTTGGCCCATTCCTCCATGCAGATCTCCTCTAGAGCAGTGATGTTTTGGGGCTGTCGCTGTGTAACACGGACATCCAACTCCCTCCAAAGATTTTCTATGGGGTTGAGATCTGGAGACTCAAAGACCTTGAAATGCTTCTTACGAAGCCACTCCTTCGTTGCCCGGGCGGTGTGTTTGGGATCATTGTCATGCTGAAAGACCCAGCCACGTTTCATCTTCAATGCCCTTTCTGATGGAAGGAGGTTTTCACTCAAAATCTCACGATACATGGCCCCATTCATTCTTTCCTTTACACGGATCAGTCGTCCTGGTCCCTTTGCAGAAAAACAGCCCCAAAGTATGATGTTTTCACTCCCATGCTTCACAGTAGGTATGGTGTTCTTTGGATGCAACTCAGCATTCTTTGTCCTCCAAACACGACGAGTTGAGTTTTTACCAAAAAGTTATATTTTGGTTTCATCTGACCATATGACATTCTCCCAATCCTCTTCTGGATGCACTCTAGCAAACTTCAGACGGGCCTGGACATGTACTGGCTTAAGCAGGGGGGACACGTCTAGCACTGCAGGATTTGAGTCCCTGGCGGCGTAGTGTGTTACTGATGGTAGGCTTTGTTACTTTGGTCCCAGCTCTCTGCAGGTCATTCACTAGGTCCCTCCGTGTGGTTCTGGGATTTTTGCTCACCGTTCTTGTGATCATTTTGACCCCACGGGGTGAGATCTTGCGTGGAGCCCCAGATCGAGGGAGATTATCAGTGGACTTGTATGTCTTCCATTTCCTAATAATTGCTCCCACAGTTGATTTCTTCAAACCAAGCTGCTTACCTATTGCAGATTCAGTCTTCCCAGCCTGGTGCAGGTCTACACTTTTGTTTCTGGTGTCCTTTGACAGCTCTTTGGTCTTGGCCATAGTGGAGTTTGGAGTGTGACTGTTGAGGTTGTGGACAGGTGTCTTTTATACTGATAACAAGTTCAAACAGGTGCCATTAATACAGGTAACGAGTGGAGGACAGAGGAGCCTCTTAAAGAAGAAGTTACAGGTCTGTGAGAGCCAGAAATCTTGCTTGTTGTAGGTGACCAAATACTTATTTTCCACCATAATTTGCAAATAAATTCATTAAAATCCTACAATGTGATTTTCTGGATTTTCTTTTCTCAATTTGTCGTCATAGTTGACTTGTACCTATGATGAAAATTACAGGCCTCTCTCATCTTTTTAAGTGGGAGAACTGCACAATTGGTGGCTGACTAAATACTTTTTTCCCCCACTGTATGTGTGTGTGTGTGTGTGTGTGTGTGTGTATATGTATATATAATGTGTATGTATATGTGTGTGTGTATATATGTGTATATGTGTGTATGTGTATATATATATATATTATACATATATGTATGTATATATGTGTGTGTATATGTATATATACACCACACACACACACACACACACACACACACACACACACACACACACACACACACACACACACACACACACACACACACAAACATACGTATATATGTGTGTGTGTATATATATATATATATATGAGTACAGGACCATTTACAATATGCATGCTGTTGCAAAGGAAAATCGAACCTTCTTGTCATGTGCTTTAATGTTGTCTGTCTCTGTCTCGCAGAATAATGAATGTCATGTGCTTTAATGTTGTCTGTCTCTGTCTCGCAGAATAATGAATACCTGGAAGAGAAGCTGCTCCAGAAGGGTCCGTCGATAGGAGACCGATCCAAACGAGTACGACAATAACCCTTGGATGTGTATAGTGGAAGTCCACACGACATTCAGATCTGCTCCACTCTATGCAGTTCTATATTAACGTTGCATAATGTTGCATCCCCTGAACAGGCCCCAGTTGTTATGTCAGTAGAGTGGAAGAAGTGGTATGCATATTAGAATTTGTACAATAGATTCAGCATGAAACATCAGGCTCTGTTGCCATGTACACCATCAAACACTACAGGGGAAAATATATACTAGTTTCAAGGGATTAGATAGCCATTAAAAACTAATATTATTGAGATAAAAGATGCATGTATATACGTTTTTAAATGTATAATGTATCTATATAGTGTTTTGTCTCACTGTGTGATCCTAACCAGACAGACAGTTTGTCAGCCGAGTACTCGAGGCTTACAAGAAATGAGTTAGCCATTTTATAACTAACCCACTAATATCTTGTAGCCTATAATGTGTCTAAAAACTATTGGTCTCTGTGTGTTTTGAGCCTAACCACGACAACCAGTCTGTGCCCAATCTGCTCAGTGCTTGTGCCAGGGTAGGTAGGCAGGCCTGCCTGCGTAGTGTCAGAAGGAGGAAGTATCTGCTGTAACGTAGAGTGCATCTTTAATATTTCAGCAGCACTAGCTAACACACAGGACCTGAAAACATGGCCGGTCATGCAGAAAGTCAACATCGCATCACAAACTGTGTGCAGTAGTAGTCTAGGTCCCTTTTTTATTTTATTTAACTAGGCAAGTCAGTTAAGAACAAATTCTTATTTACAACGACGGCCTACACCGGCCAAACCCGGGACGACGCTGGGCCAGTTGTGCGCCGCCCCTATGGGACTCCCAATCACGGACGGTTGTGATACAGCCTGGAATCGAACCAGGGGGTCTGTAGTGACGCCTGCAAGCACTGAGATGCAGTGCCTTAGACCGCTGCGCCACTCGGGAGGCCTGTATGGGAGGAGGGGAATAGTCCAGAATGGGTTTTGTTTTGGTTTTTTGCCCATTTTTATATGTTTATGTGGTCGAGGGGAATGGTCACGTGTATCCTTTTTTTTCCCTCAAAATGCCATGCTGAAGATAAAAGTGTGTTACTGTGAGTGTGTGTGTGTGTTGACCTTTTGTGCGTTGATGCAGGTGCGCCGTGTGCCTGGCTCCAGCGGTCGTCTCCATAAGACCGAGGACGGGGAGTGGGAGTGGAGTGATGACGAGTTGGACATGGAGAGTGAGGAGGGCAAGGCTGCGGTTGCGGCTCTACGGGTGAGACTACCCTAGACTACCCTACCCTAGACTACCCTAGACTACCCTAGACTACCCTACCCTAGACTACCCTACCCTAGACTACCCTACCCTAGACTACCCTAGACTACCTAGCTAGCACATCTGGCTTCAAATGCTATCTCAGACCTTTCAAATACTTACAGGGCTGATTTCCCAGACACAGATTAAGCCTAGTCCTGGCTAAAAAGCGTTGTCAATGGAGATTCTTCATCTGAAGTGCTTTTTTTTTTTTTTTTTTTTTTTTGTCTAGGACTAGGCTTAATCTGTGTCCGGGAAACCGGTCCTTAGGGTTTGCTCTAGCCTTGCCTGGAGTGGGTTGTGATTTCGAGACTATTCTATTGGTGTCATTGTGCCTGGCAAGCTCAATCAAGCCCAGATAAAGTATTTCAAAAATGATTTTAACTCGTATTTGAACCCAGGTGTGATAGCTGTAACCTTATTGTAGCCCTCTAGTGGTTCAAAGCCACCTAGGACTCAATCAAATTAAATAAATAAATCAGATGTTCAATCAAACCTGTTACTGTGTTGGGGGAGGAAAAAAACCTTCATCGCGTGTTCTTCTGACGTCTGTTAATCTTTGTGTCGTATTTCATTCTAGTCTCCCAGAGTGAAAGATGGATCCATCGAGGTAAGCCCTGGTGTTGGTATCAAATCAGAACACCTCAAACCTTTTTATCTGTTCATTGCAGAAACAATAGTGTGCCGACTTCAGTTGTGCGTGAAATTTGCATGAAATTGAATTAGAAGAATCATTGCCAAATGTCCTGATCTAACTCTCTCATCTGCTTCCCACAAAACATGTGTATGGACATGTAGTTAATGGGGTAACACTTTACTTAAGGCATACAGGTATAATGCATTATGGTGCGGTCATAATACATTATAAGCATCTATAGCCACGTTCACACTGCACTGAGCCCAGGGCTGACAGCCTCCTTACTCATTGGCTAAGAGAATGCACTGTGAAAAGGCCTTACATTTTAAGTCATTTGGCAGATGCTCTTATCCATAGCATTCATCTTAAGGTAGCTAGGTAAGACAACCACATAATGGTCACAACCACATTCGCATTAAACAGTTAATGAATCTCTTCCTGAGACAGTAGGAGTTTATCTTTCGTTGGTCCTCCTCAGATTTTCCCTCCAGAGGATGGTTCTCCCAGTCTGCTCCGTCCAGGAGAGGCAGGACAGGACAAGGACAAGGACAAGCCAGGTGAGGCCACCCTGATCCAGGGAGACGTCCCAGCGCAGGACCCTGCTGCCTCCACCGCCACCAAAGTCCCCATCAGCCTGGTGTTAAGGTTGAGGTATGCATCATTTAGTGCAGAGGTCTTCAACCCCTGGTACGTGGACCGGTGCTGGTCCATGGTATGTTACTGACTGGTTCCTCAGATGCTTCACTGATATGACAGTGGTTCAGTCCGGTCCCCAAGTGCTAGTTTTAATCTGTGGTCCTCCAAGGAGGAAGGGCCATAGCTTGTCTGTCCCTGGTACACATTGTTTTAGAAACACTGACCTAGTGGATGTTTCTCAAGCCTTTCTACCATGCCACACAGTTATTTCACATATCTAAATCTTATAATAACCAGTTCTAACGTTCTTCTCCCAGAAACTTGAAGAAAGAACTGAATGACATCCGGTTTGAGTTCATGCCTGGAAGAGGTAGGTGTTTGTGTTTTAAACATCACCAGGTGTTTTCTGCTCAGGAGGGGAGCGAACAGTCTGACTTTATTGCAATCTTTGTGTTTGCTTGTGTCAACAATCCTCTCTGTCTCTGTCTCTCTCTCGCACTTCTCTCTCTCTCTCTGTCTCTCTCTCTCTCACCCACTCTCTCTCTCCTGTCTCTCTCTCTCTCACCCACTCTCTCTCCTCCTCCTGTATACTCTCATCACCCACTCTCTATCTCACCACGCTCTCTCATCTGTCTCTCTCTCACCCAATCTCTATCTTCTCTCTACATGGACTCTCTCTCTCAACCACTCTCTCCCTCTAATGCTCTCTCACCCAATATATCTGTCTCTCACCCACTCTCTCTCTCACCCACTCTCTCTCTCACCCTATCCTGTCTCTCTCTCCTCTTCACCCACTCTCTCTCTCTCACCCACGCTATCTCTCTTATCACCCAATCTCTCTCTAACCCACTCTCTCTCTCTCCTCACCACAACTCTCTCTCTCTCCTGTCTCTCTCTCAACCACTCTCTCTCTCTCCTGTCTCTCTCACCCACTCTCTCTCCTCTCTCACCTACTCTCTCTCTTGCCTGTCTCTCTCACCCACTCTCTCTCCTCTCTCACCTACTCTCTCTCTTGCCTGTCTCTCTCACCCACTCGCTCTCCCTCCTGTCTCTCACCCTCTAGCTCTCTCCTCTCTCCTGTGTCTCTCTCTCCGTCTCTCCTGTGTCTCTCTCTCCCTCTCTCCTGTGTCTCTCTCTCCCTCTCTCCTGTCTCTCGCTCAACCTCTCTTCTGTCTCTCTTTCTCTCCTTCAATTCATTAGTAAACATTCTCTCTCTCTCTCTCAGACTCCGCTGATGGAGTGTCTCAGGAGTTGGTGTCAGCAGGACTGGTCGATGGAAAAGATTTAGTGGTCGGTGAGTAAGAAACCTAGGATAAGTCACACAAAGGCCAACAGAGTTCAGGCTGAAATGATGAACCAGCAATGACTCCAGAGCTAAAATTAGAGGATTATCTCAATGACCCCCCTCAGTAACTCCTGCTTCCCGTCTCTGGGTTCTTTCCAGTTGCTGCCAATTTGCAGAAGATTGTTGATGATCCTCTCAACAATAGAAATGTCACTTTCAAACTTGTAAGTTAGCAAAACACTCCACCATTGGCCTATTGAAACAACTCTATGGCCCTGTTCAACAGCCTACGAGGAGAGATGCACTGGGAATTTCTCAATTCTCCTTTTTTTCCTTCTCAGGCATCTGGCATAGACGAGTCGGAGATCCCTGACGATGTGAAGCTGATGGGTTTCGCTCAGCTCAGCATCAGTTAACTCAACGTTCCGTCAACAAAGAACGACAAACAGTATTGCACAGCAGCATAGTTCTAAATTCCAAGACACCACCGCTGCCAAAGACGAGAGCTGCATTTGTCAACCTGTAGGGATCTTTTCTTTACTGAAACCTGCTGTGTTAGTTAAAATGGACGGGCTATGAGAACGGGACCAGCGCAACAATAAAAAAAAACAACAACAACAACAACAACAACAGTTAGAACAGGAAATCACATTTTGAAAGAGTTTATAGCAGGACCGATCGACAACGTGTATCTGGGAGGGAGGACGACGTCGCAATCAACGATGTCGTCATCGACTTAAAAATAAAACAACAAACCGTTTCTTAGTTAGTGTTGTACAATCCAAAGCGTTATATAATAAAAATGTAACTGCTGCCAGTTCTGGAAGTGGTAACAACAACAACATAAATGCCTTTTTATCAACCGTGCCACTGAACCAAATGAGTGTTGTGTGTGTGTGTGTAGTGGCCTCCACTGGTAGACATCCTCATCTGAATCATACAGGATGCCACGTCCCAAATGGACACCTTATTCCCCTATATAGTGCATTTCCTATGGGCCTTGGTCGAAAGTAGTTTACTAGGTAGGGAATGGGGGTGACATTTGGGACGCGGACATGGTATATTAGGAAGTGTAAAGGAAGGGGGGCCTTAGTTAGTACGGATCTATTACAGTATGGATCTAAGTAGAGGGAATGAGTGACTTGAGTTTCCTTGATAATATTATTGATATTAAACTATAGGGGCCCCTAGTCTCACACAGTTAACCCCTTATTACACAGTAACTAGCCAGTTTTTCATGAACCAGAAATAACTGGCATTTCTCTTTTAGTGTATATCATAACGTAAGTTGACATAAGCTTTCTGAGGTGTATCTGTTGATTATAAGCTCTCATAGGTGTATCATAAGTTGACATTAGCTGTCATAAGTTATCTTAACTGTTGACATCAGCTGTTATAGCCGCTCATTGGTGTATCATTATGTTGACATAAGCTGTGGTGTTAGTTGTTCAGGTTATCCCAGACAGACATCGTTGCTCTAATATGAAAGGGGTCTGTTCAGGAGTGAGTCGGTGTCTGCTCTGTTCATTACATTTCTATCTGCAAACGTTCTGGACCATTAGCCGGTGTTAATACACAAAGAAGGTAAAACAATACCTTACTGAGACCTTGATTATTATGGTAAAACAATACCTTACTGAGACCTTGATTATTATGGTAAAACAATACCTTACTGAGTCCTTGATCATTATGGTCTTGGGAGTGACTATGCAACTTTGTCTCTGATGTCCAGCACCAGCGGTACACTAGCCACTGGATCTCCGTTATCTCACTAGCTAGCTAGCTGTCATCATTATGTCTGTTATCTCACTAGCTAGCTAGATGTCATCACTGTCTGTTATCTCGCTAGCTAGCTGTCATCACTGTCTGTTATCTCACTAGCTAGCTAGCTGTCATCACTGTCTGTTATCTCACTAGCTAGCTAGCTGTCATCACTGTCTGTTATCTCACTAGCCAGCTAGCTGTCATCAGTATGTCTCTATACATTTGTCTGTTTCGTCATCGTAGATGGACAAAATAATTTGTCGTGCCCCAATCCATCCACTTACCTGAAAGTCACCGACTGTTGTCACTCCCACTTTACGTTGTATGTTGGTTGGTTGGCAGTGTTGGGGAACCTACTATGAAAATATAGTTTACCAAGCTACCAATTACTTCACGCTAGAAGAAGTTAAGCTGCACTAAAAGCTACCCTTAAGAAAAACATAGCTTACTTAACTTAAGTTACATCCAAACTACTTTGTGAAAAATGATATCTAACTGAAATGTCAGACTACAAATTGCAGGAACAGATCTCACTGGAGTCAGATGTTAACACTATAATTTAGCCTATTAAACACAAAATAGTGAGAATTAGGCAGGTCTGATTCCAAAAAAGAATGTACATCCTTGCCTACTTCACACATTTTTATTAAATCGTTGCAAAAAAAAAACAAGTAGTGTGTAGTTCCAGTAGTTAGCTACACCGCTACATGGTAAAACAGTAGTGTGTAGTTCCAGTAGTTAGCTACACCGCTACATGGTAAAACAGTAGTGTGTAGTTCCAGTAGTTAGCTACACCGCTACATGGTAAAACAGTAGTGTGTAGTTCCAGTAGTTAGCTACACCGCTACATGGTAAAACAGTAGTGTGTAGTTCCAGTAGTTAGCTACACCGCTACATGGTAAAACAGTAGTGTGTAGTTCCAGTAGTTAGCTACACCGCTACATGGCTATAAAGTAACTGACTAATGAAAACACTACCTAGACTTGAATTTTGTTCGACTACCACCAACCAAGCTACTGCAGAATGGAATTCCAATTACTAGTTGAACTAAAATTTTAAATGTAGTTCACTACTCCCCAACACGGTTGGTTGATGTGTGACGTGTGTTTCCTAGTTCAGGTACTGTTGTAAATCGGTCTATTTAGCAGGGGTGTTGTATTTTCAAAAAAGGTACGTACATTATTATAATGGGAACGGATGATGGATGCCACGACATGCACGGTCAGTCACACACCCTCCCAAAGGTCTGTTTTTGTGAGTAGGAGGCAAAGCAAAGCATTGACTGTTTTCTGGAGTACATTTCCAAAATGGGAAGAAGGTTCTTATTGTACATATGATTACGTCAGAAAAACAACTGGTATACTTGATCAGCTCATCCAGTCTATAGGTTAAAACAATGAAACTACAGTGAGGTGTTTTTTTTATTTTTTTTATTTTGTATTGAGTTTTCCCACTGTTGGCCTTCTGTTTAGATATTCATCACTAATTCCAAGTTTTGTTGCTAATCATGCCACATCTGATTTGCTAAGTTCGCACCTTTATTATTATCAATATATATATTAACATAGCTGCATATTTTAGTTAGTTCAAAAGGCTTGTGATCTGGCTCACATTCTATGCTTTTGTTTTCATGGAGATATTAATATGCAATTTGTATTTTTTGTTTTGTTTTTCCATTGTTTGTTTTTTCTTCTAATCACTGAAACCTGTCCAGTTTTAGAGTTGGTTTTCCCGTAGTAAATCACACAAACTGGAATGATGTTCCTATACAAATGTAAAAGTAGTTCTAGCTAACAAATGCAAATGACACAACTGACACCATTCCCGCTAGTGTGATATGTTGCTTTCAGACTGAGCAATATGTTGAAGAAAGTTAGCCTGGGTGCCAGTCTCTTTGTACCATCATGCCAAATCCCTGTCACTCATTGTCATGGAAAACAATGTAATTGGCATGAGAATAAACAGATTTGAGACACCCCTCCTATATTGTGATACCATTTGGAAAGCCACTGTTGTCAGGTAGATATGTCACAAGGCAAACTCTTTGAATGATGAGTATTTATTATGACACTCACTTGGATCTGAATGAACTTTATGATTTGGTTATTTTTATTTGTTGGAAGTTGGTTTACTTAAAACCAATGCATATATTTTCGATGTTATGTGTATCGTCACAAAACGTGCAAGTGATCAAAATCAATTGTGTTGATTATTTGAAGAATGTTATTTGTGAAACCTTAGAATTAAATTACAAAACTTGATGTCATGAATTAAAAGCCCTTTGCAGAATCAATGTTGTAAATGTGCTGTTAACATTTTTTGCCATCACACAAAAACATGAAAATTAATAATAGGCAAATAAAATCTCATGATTTGAACCAAGTCCCAAGAGTTTTCTTTATATACGTTCATAGTCCGTTTTATGCAGGTGTTTGGTAAATAAAAACATTGTGAATCTGGGTCATGGCACAACTGTAGCCGGCGTCACTGTGCTGCTACCAGTAACGCTTCCTTCCCTGGCTTGAACTAGTGACCCTTAGCTCGCAAAAACACGTGACTTCCCGCTTGACAACATACAAACCAGTTGCGCCACTGAAAAGGATCCAATTAATTGCCAACATTTCAAACTGTGGGTGAGTTTTGTACCAGATAATCTCAATCCTTTTAGATTTGCTTTTCCTGATCATGTGACCTGAACCGGAACAACTCTTGTGTCCTAGTTACAGCCTGTAAATGGTTTTCAGAGTCTGGTCACAAGGTCAGGAAAATCTACTGGCCATTGCAAGCATAGCCAGATAATAGTTTCAGTTAAAGTGATGCTACAGAGGTTTTGTATAATTTCAGCCAGTAGTTTTGAAAGTAGCCTAGTGCTCACAAGACAAGTCACAATTGTCTACAATGTCAACCATTTCGTATATATGTTACGTCCTGCAATTTGTATGATATGTTACGGATTCCAATTTGTACAATATGTTACGAATTTGTAAGTGCTTTCACTATGAAAGGGACGAGCACGCAACTCACATGAACAAAATATTTCAAGCATTGAATGTAAGGATTGCGTGGCGTTCTCGGCCAGGAGAAGATTACAGATGGTATACTATGCAGGTCAGGAGAGGAAAGGATAATTTGACCGTATGAGTCATAAAAACCTGCTGGAGAAGAGACTTAGTACAGTAGTTTTACGACTTGTTCCTCAAACAGAATGATAGATATATAATTAATTGTCAAAACAAACAAAAAGGACAAAATATGTTTTAAAAAATGACACGGTGAGATTTGAAAACATAAGATGTTATTATGCTTTTAATTCATTGTTGGTGTTCTTATCTGTGTTATCTATGTCCCTGTAGGAATGTGACCGTCTTGAAGAATGCAAGCGATCTGAAAGTGGATGATGCTGTAGTAACCGTGGGAGTTCAACCAAACTTCAAACCGTGTGGAGGCTTCTCCTTCGGGATATTTCGGGTTAAATCTTATATAACAAAAAAAACAAAAAACATCTACAACTCTCTACCTTGTTCACAGCAAGGCTGTGGTTTAGGTCAGGTCATTTATTTATTTATTTATTTTTAGTCATTTAGCAGACGTCATCTGAGGGTGCTACAATGAGCGAATCTCAATTGTATACTCCTCTCACCGCCTACTCAAAAACACATTAGAGGTCAGAGGTGAGGGACCTCTGGCTTTTTCATCCAATGGGTTTTGAGGAGGAGAGAGGACGCAAGGAGTATGCAATTGAGATTCTCCCTTTGACAAAACAATGGCAGCCAATGCCACCGTTATTAACACACTTAGAAAGTATTCAGACCCCTTGACTTTTTCCACATTTTGTTACATTACAGCCTTATTCTAAAATTGATTTATATGTTTTTTTTCCCCCATCAAAA